CCCTCGAATGCTGCCCAGCGTGCGATTCAAAGGCGATGTGCCGCTCCTCCCTTGATCTTGGGTGGTCGGTGGTGGCAGGTCGGTGGTCAGGCAGTCTGAGGCGACTGCGCTGGGGGACTTCGTCGACGGTGTGCGGGGGGCGATTGGACCCCCGGGCGAGTTCTGCCGGAAGTTGGGCTCGTTGACACTTCGCGCCCTCAGGACGCCGGTGGTGGCGCAGAAGTGGATGCAGGTTCTCGGCGGAGGCTGGGTTCGCTTGATGTTGTGCCGCCGCGAGACGATGACGTGCCTCGGTGCCTTCTGGGAGTTTATGGTCCGCCTGCGGGGTGGGCGCCCTCTCCCGTCGTGGGTCCGAGGGGAGCTCCTGAGCGCGCTGTGCCTGATGCAATTGATGCGCTGCGACTTGCGTGTCCCCATCAGTGGCCTGGTGGCGGCGTCGGATGCGAGCCCATGGCGGGGGGCGGTGCGCGCGTCTGTGCGCCTTCTGCCGCATGGCATCGCAGTAGCTCGCGCCTCTCAGTTGGGGCGGACAGGCGGCCTCAACGACGACTGAAGACTTTTTTTCATTATTTGATGGCATAGGAGGCGGCCGCAGGGCGCAGGACATGCTCGGTCTCTCGGTGGGCGTGTTCGCGACGAGCGAGGTCGACGAGGAGGCGGCTCGAGTGGTCCGATACTCGAGGCCTCATGTTGTCGAGCTAGGCGATGTGACCACCATTGCTAGCACATGTCTGGGGCGACTGCGTGAGAGGGCGCCGACGGCAAGGTGGGTGCTTGTCATGGCGAGCCCCCCTGCACTGACCGCTCGCGCGTGAAGCTGGACGTCGCGGTCTTGCAGACAATCGTTCTCGGCTCTTCTACGAGATCCAGCGGGTCGCGCGGCTCCTGGTCGAGGTGCTGGGGGGGGGTCTCAGGTCTTCAGGCTCATCGAGAAAGTGGCGTCCATGGAGGACGAGCACCTCTTCGCTATGTCGGTCGAGCTTGGGCTGCAGCCAGTGTTGCTGGACGCGGCGGCGCTCTCTCACTGTCATCGTGACCGTGTGCACTGGGTCGATCAAGACATGATGGTCGCCTGGCAAAGGGCGTCGGTGAGACATGGGCGAAGTTGAGTTCGGCTTGAACCTCATGAGGAGCCAGGGCCGCAGCCGCGGTGGCTTCGCCCAGGAGTGAAGTGGCATCAAGCATTGTGATGAGCAAGCACTCGAAGGGTGGCGGGCCGTCGAGCACAGCTACCCGCCGTGCCCGTGCAAATATGAGTATCGCCTCGTGGAACCTGACGGTCGCTTGCGAGTGCCTGGTGCTCTCGAGAGGGAGGGAGCTGCTGCTTGATTTCCCGCCTCGCCACGCGATGGCGGCGCGGCCCGCGCGGGCCGGGAAGGACCTGAAGGGGCTCGAGCAGTGCCGATGCGTGTTGCTCGGCAACTCCTTCCAGTGCGGTGCGGTGGCATGGCTACCGGCGCACTGGGCCGTGCTCGCGGGCCATCTGCAGGAGGTGCCGACTATTGAGAACATGACTTTCACAGGAGGTGCCTGCACCATCGCGGAGGCGGACGTGCTCATGGAGGCTGGCGGCCGAGGTGAGCGCGAGCATAGGGCTCAGCTTGGTGACCCGCTTTCGGACGACGAGAGCGGGGGCATCTTCGTCAGGCAGCGTGGCGCGTGGAAGCAGGACGCTGTGTTGGGCCCGTCCGTGATTCTGGTGGAGGAGCTGGCGCGGAGGGCTGAGGCGCGCGGCAGCGATGTGCGTCTCGATGCGCTTGAGGGCATGTCCCCCCTGGCGCGGTCCAGGCGTCCAGTGCCGGCGGCCCGCTGGACCTGGCGTGCAGTGGCGTCATGGCGGTGGAGTCGGCCCTCTCACATCTCTGACCTTGAGGTGCGCGGCTGTCTTGGAGAATGGCAGTGTCGTCTCCGACAAAGACAGCATCTTCGCACTCGGTTCGCTCACCTGACGGACAGTCAAGTTGGTATTGGAGTTGTGACGAAAGGGCGTTCCTCGTCCCATTTGCTGAACGGTGTTGTGAAGAGAATCTGCGTGCTTGTGCTGGCTAGCCTGCGTGGGCCCATCTACGGCTACGCAGAGACCGACAGGACCCCCGCGGACGATCCGTCCCGCAGGCTGCCCGACGACAAGGGAGATTGTCAGTCGTCGCCCTCGCAGGTTCGTGGCCTTGGCCAGCCAGCAAGATCGCAGAAGCGCTCGCTCTCAGGTCGGGCGGTTCTCGAACGCTTTCGTTCAGCCAGTTTCTCTGAACCGATATCGAGCTGTTGTGGCCAGCTTCGCGCAGTGGCTCACGAGCCGCCGAAAGCAGGCCAGCGCCAACATTGACTATCTTGACTTTCAAGTTACAGACTGGATCGAGTATTTGTGGGCCGACGGCAGGGGGGCGAACGAGGCGGCAGACGCCCTGTCTGGTCTCCCATTACTGCTGCGTCGGTGCCGTATCTTGCCGGCCTCGTGGAATCTTCTTGGAGCATGGAAGCGGATAGAGGATAGAGTTGCCTCATCGAGCGCCGCCTCTGGCGCTCAACCTAGTGCTGGCAATGGCATGCGTAGCACGTTTCTGTTGCAGAAGCGATATAGCTCTGCTGCTTGTCCTCGGCTTCAGCGGCGTCTTGCGCATGGCGGAGCTCGTGGCGCTGTGCCGGCGGCAGGTGCAGGTGTCGTTGGATCGCTCGGCCGTCGTGATTGTGTGGCCCATCTCCAAGTGTGGGCTGAGGCGAAACGCAGTGTCATCAGTCATCAGTGACGCAGGTGTCGCCTGTTTTGTCGAGTACCTCACCCAGCACCTGCAGCCAGGAGATGTCATTTAGCAGAGCAGCGTTGCGAACTTCAGGATCGTGTTCGACTGTTTGTTGGACGGGCTCGGAGTCCTCCATCCAGGCTTCCGCCCATATTCCCACCGCCGAGAGGGTGCTGCGCATTTCTATCGTACCTTTCAGAAAAGCGAGCGACATTGCAGACTGGCCGTTGGAGAGATACGCAGACGGCCAGAATATATATATATATATATATATATATATATATATATACATATACACATATCGCTGTGGAGTACAAGTGTTGCTCCAACTTGTCTTTGATACGAGCCAGCAGCAGCAGTTCGCAGTGCTGGCCCAAACCTTGTGGGCAGATTTTAATTAAGCATCAGGGCCACCTGCTATCCTTTGTATTAACCAGACAACATGGATAAACCTCGTGTGGCCTTGCAGTGTTCTGGGGCAGAGACCCCCCCGCGAGTGTTCACTGAAGCAAATAGGGGGCGGGGGGGCCAGAATGGGGTGCATGGAATGCGCGTTGTCCCCGCGCTGGGGGGCGGGGCGTTTTTGCTGCCCTTGGGCGCGAACCTTGAGGCCTTGTAGGCGAGGGGCCCTTGTCCTCGGGCCGTGCCCCGAGGCGGCGGGGACGTCCTCTCCCTGGGCGTGGCCATGCCAGGCGCGGCATGGCCCTCGTGGCCACGTGGTCCGAGGGGGCTTGGCTTGGCGCTGCGCCGGTGCGTTCGGCCCTCGGCGAGGCGTAGCTGCGGCGTGCCCCCTGGGTGCTCCGTGCCCCCTTGTGCTCTCGGCGTGGCGCTGCTGTGCTTGCTGGCGGGCCCTCCGTGGCCCCTGGGGGTGACGGCCTTCGGCGAGGCGCAACTGCAGCTCGGCCGAGCGGCCTGACCTCTGTGTGGCGGCGCCCGCCTGGAGTCCCGTTGCGACTCCTCGCTCGATCCTGGCGCGGGAAAATGATCTGACGAGCGAGCAGGGGTTTGGGGTCATATATGCACTTGTGTTCGCCTTTGTTGCCACTTCGCTCGCCTTCAGATTCGCTTTCGCCCGATCTGGTGCGATCGCCCTTCCTGCTGCTCCTGTCGCCCAACGGGTTCATCGTGCTTTCGTGTCTGCTGGAGGAGTGTTCCCCGCGACTACGGTGGTCGCGTTACCCCCCCCGCCGCCGCTGCCCGTCCCAGTTCCAAGAGCGCCATTCTGGATCAAGGAACGGATCTAGCAATGGAGGAGGATGCCGATAGTATGGGGGCCGATGATGAGCTTCTTCCGCCAGCGGGGCCTGCCGTGACCGCTCTGCAGGGATCTTCTGACCTTCTTGAAGGCTTGGGGCCAGGTGGGGCTAGATATTTCCGAGCGTTTACTCACGATTTCAGAAACATGTGGCATCTTCGGTGTCCACTGGAGAAGACGGCAGACGCGTGCGTTGAGACGGTGAACAGAACAGAGAAGAGCGTCGCAGACATGACAAAGTATTTGACGGACCTCAAGGCTTTGGTAGGTGTGCTCTAGTCTGGGCGGAGGAGGCGGAGCTGGCACTGGCTCTGTAACTGGGGCACATTTTTGGTGCAGGTGGAAGTGTTGGAAGATCCGACGGTTGTGTCCTTGAGCAGTTTTTCCGTGATCAAGCGTCGGGCATTTTGCGTCGGAGGTTTCGAGTGCAGTGGGGGCAGATATTGCAAATGACATGAAGGAGATTGTGACCACCTGCCACATCGGTGGCGTACGGCGCCTTCACACCGTGGGTAGCTAATCAGACATGATGAAAATCGAGTTCGGGACCTCTCAGAAGATGTGGAAGTGCGTGGTCAAGATGCATGGGCATTTTTCAGTTACAGGGTTGCGATGCAGACTCGTCCTTCCTACCTCTACCAACAGGGGTGCCATTTCTGGTGGTGCACCATGACATGTAAGCAGATGAATCAGCGACGACGCTGTTATCGTATTGTGGAACTGTTGAGGAGTTGGTTTCGATCGCGCCGCTCGGGGTTTCGATCACATGGCGTCGGAGTTCCATTGGGGTGTTTTTTGCAGTCGAGAGTTCACCGATGTGCAGAATTTTGACGCGACGAGATAGCTGGCCACACTGTGACCCTTGGGCTCTCTACGCGGGGGTATTGCATGAGACGCTGATGGCTTGCATCCCGTTCGACCCCGCAAGACAGGGGAACTGCCTCGCTGCGGTTATCGTGACGCCCCGCGGTGGCGAGCAATTCGAAGTATGCGGGCATTTTGATTCAGGTACTCATCGTCGTGGGTCCTACTGCAGCGACGTTGCCGACTGCGAGAACTTGCTGGCGCGGCGCCCGCGCCAGAGCGCGCCCGTGGTGTGCGTTGACGCCGGCGCTGCGTTCGCCTCCGTCAGGGCGCCCGCCGGCGGCGGGTCCTCGCGTGTCCGGAGTCGACAACTGGGAGACCAGCGCGTCCCGCGAGTTCGCGGTGAGCAGCGGTCTCATCCTGGGCAACGCGTGGAGCAAGCCGCCCACGGGTTGCCGCGCGTGCTTTGACGGCGGCAAGTTCGAGCCCATGCAGGTGGACTTCATCGCGATCGGGAAGGGTCCGCCGCGGAGATCCTACGATTGCCAACCCTGCTCCGCCTGGAATTATGATCGTTGTCCGCTTGTTTTCCGCTTCTTTGCGGCGGTGCGAGTAAGTGCCCAACATTGCAAGTGCCTTTAAGACCAAGTTGGCTGGAAAATTTTAGATCGCTCTTTTGCCAGTCAAGTACAGTTTAGTTTTGGAACCGAAGCCCGCCTGAAGACCTCGCGCAAACTTCAGGATGTTCGTTTCCGTTTGTATAGCGACGGCCTTTCAGAGGAACGTAGTGAGACTTGATTCGCATGCGGTTGGGGGCTCCCTGTCTTTGATGGCCCCCCTGGCATTCCTCAGAACTCGAGGGTCCCAGGTGCCGAAGCCGATCCGATTTTCCAAAGTTGTGGCGGGGTCTTTCACATCCAGCCGAGGGGGGGGCGCCGAGGCTGTTGGGCTAACCGGCAACGCCGCGAAGTGGACGGGCGTTATCGAGATGGGCCCTTGGGTTCTGGGACCGCGCGACTCGACGAGCGAAGCTTCGATTTCACGGGGGTTCTATGTCTGGGGAATCTTGGAACGCAAGTTCTGGCCAACAAACCGCTTGGCTCTCGCCTTGCGGGTCCAGTGTCTGTGGGCGTGTTTGGAAATGCTGCGTGGCATGAATGTCGTGGAAACAGGGTTCCTAGCCATCTGGCTGAGTGAGGGGGCCGAAACCATGCAAGTTTTGCTGGTCGTTTCAGGTGGTAAGTGCCCAGGCCTTCCGCGTCGTCTCTGGGCGAGGGGGAGTTTGCCAACGGCGTCGCTGGTGCTGGGGTTCCCATGTCAGATTGGCAGTGCTTGTTTCAACGTTGCGCCGCCGCTCAGGGGCCAGTCTTGCCTCGAAGATCCTGGTGCGAGCTGGTGGGTAAGCCGCGCGAGGCCAGATGGAGTGCACGCAGTCGCTGGATTTTCGAGCGGCGCTCACCCTCCCGACTGTGAGATTGCACGGAAGCACCGCCAGGGCCTTCACATCGCTTCCATGGGCTGTTTTGCCGCTGCTTTCATCCGCGTGGCAGCCAAGTGCGGGGGGAAGTTGAGCGCGGGCCCTCCGAGGGCCCCGGGGGGCCATGGTTGAAACGTTCTGGCGAGCGCGGGGTTGTGGGCAGGCCGCCAGCGCGACGCATGCCTTGAGCTTACATGTCGTCTCCTTGATGCGCCAGCTTGCCTTTCTCGCCCTGGATTTGCGCGCCGAATTTCGCCGCTCATGGTGGGGTGGATCTTTCCAGGGGCCAACTGAAGGTAGGGGCTTGACAGACGAGAGGGGGGGCTTTGATTGCTGATGGGGGCGTGGTGCGGGCGGAGGTTGCGCTGTTTTATGACAGGCTGTTCCAGGACCCGGGGGGCCCGAATATGCGGGGTGGGTCTGGCCAGGATATGGCCGCGAGATTTGGGATATTTTTTCCAAGCGGATTGATGCTCAATTTGCCCAGCAGTTTTTGTCTCGTTTGAAGCTTGGAAGCTCGCGTTCCAGGGGCGACTGTACTGTGGTTGAACTGTCGAATGCTTGAAGCTCGGAGGCCCTGAATTTACTCGCAGAGATACTGGTTTTGATCTTGTTTCGGCACCCGCTTGGGAAAATGGGCCCCGTCATCCGCCGACAATGAGTCATGCTGTTTGCCGAGTTTCATGTGGCATGCGTAGCATTGGCTTTCGGCCGATTGCCTTGCCTTTGTGCTTGCTAAAGCGTGCTCCATGTGTTTTGGGTGAGCTCGTCGAGTTCGACCAGGTGAGCTTCTCCCCGCTGCAGTTCGATGTTCGCCGAGGCTACTCAGCGCGCGAGCCTGTCGCAACTGCTCGCCTTTTAGCCCAGCGCGCGGTTGAGTTTCGTGAGATTGCCTTCTTCGGGGCAGGGGATCTACGCGAAGTTTATGGGCAGGTGCGGTACGCGCGCATCGTGCGTAAGCATGCTCATCGTAAAATACCACGTGTACTCACGGATGCTCGTCTTAGGGGGGCCAGACAAAGTATATCATATAATTTCGTCAGCTTTGGCGCGCGCCCACTAGGCAAGTGTCCCGCGCTCGTTCGACGATGCAGGGCGACCCAGAGGCTCCGAGGCTCTTCCTTTTCTTTTTACATGATTCCGCCCAGGAATTCGAAGTATTTTGGGGAAAACACGGATGGGGTTACCCATTGGGACCGGAGGACTTGAACACGCGCATCGAATTAACAATAAATGCCAAAACTTGAAACCAAACGTGCGCCCATTCTTTTTCAACAGATTTTTTTGTTGGCGACGTCTTCGATTATGCTGCGTGCTATGTGGGCCGCGTGGCATCATCTGGTCTGCCAGAATTGCGCCTGCACCATCCTGGCCAGGGACTGCGTCTGGATCGCGACCGCCGCCGCTTCGGCAGCGACGTTCAAGATGGAAAACAGGAAAGTGTCGTCACAATAATTTCGAGGAGCGAGGTTTTGCTTGGATCACATTTGATAGCTGCGCCCCGGAAGCTGTTTCCTGAGGGAATCCCAGGGCACGGGCAGTTTTTTGCTAACCACGGTGTTACCTCATGCAGCAAAAAATAACATTCAGCAAACGTTTCGGACTCCTGGGTAACGTGGTCAGACAAACCCCTGTCTTTTGTGGCGGTGGTTTGTATTTGGTTTGTGGCCGCTTGTCTTCGATCAGGGCTACCCATTACAGAATGATCCGTCATATGCTTGGTTTCAGGAAGTCGGACGAGGACTACATATGATTATAGCTGTATATATATATATCGGTATGTTTATGCTTAGTATTAGTTGTTGTTGTAGTTCTGTATGTATCACGTAATGCTAACCGTATCATTGTCATTGTGGTCATTATTACAATTATTTGTATTACAATTAACAGTTATTGTGATTCGTGCCACCATTATTTATTGTTACTCGTATGTCTGCTTCAGTCAGTCTGCCTGTCTAACTCTCTGTATGCTTTCATGTATGTATGAGTATATTAATACATGCATGTTTGAACGTGTATTCATTTACATTTTCATGTACATTTACACGTACATGTACATTCAACTTTACATGTACATTTACATTTACATTCACATATGCACATACCTATACAAATACATACGCATTTTCATATACATGTACATGTACACATGCACATACACATACATATACACATACATGTACATGTACACATACATATGCATATACACATACATTTTATAGGTGCACATACATGCTTTGTATTTCTAGTTATAGATATAGTTATATATATATATATATATATATATCTATAGATATGTATGAAGCGCGCTTTCTGCCATGTTTAGCACGTTCTGCACAATTCTTGAATTCGAAGTTGCTATGGTCAAGTCTTGTTGTTGGGTCATCGTTCGGTTGGGTGCGCTGTTAGGTGTCGTCGTATGATCCTTGTCGGGTTGCTCGCCAGGCCTCTCTGTATGAGGACTACATGTATCTCCGCCATCTTGGCGATATCGTTGCTCTCGTCATCCTCTTCGTCTTCGTCGTCTTCGTCGTCGTCGTCGTCAGCGCCGCCGCCGCCGCCGCCGCCGCCGCCGCCGCCCCCGCTCGTCGCCGTCGCTGCATTCGGGTGCCGACCGAGGCCGACGCGTTGCCGAAGACGCGCGGCCGACCGAAGCCGCCCGCCGCCGAGGAGGAGCTCGGCAGCGGCCGTCGCAGGGCGCCCACCGCGAGGACGGTGCCGCCGTGGGCGTGCGACGCGCCAGCCGCGGCCGTGACGGGGGGCCCGCCGTGACTCTGCGTGTGGCCGCAAACGGCGCCCCTCCTGCCGTGTCTGCCCCCCGTCCTGCCCCTCCCGCTTCTCCTCCTCCCCCTGCTCCCCCTCCGCAGTGCACCCAATTCTCCGCAGCGTGCCCGCAGTGAAGGGTCCTCCTCTGTTCTGCAGAGGAGCTGGGTGGGTACCTCGAGGCCCGCCCGCGGCCGCCTTCGTGGGCGCCCGTGGCCGCCCTTGGCCGGCCGAGGACCGCTCCGCGGCCCCCCCCCCTCTGCCCCCCTTCCTCGTCCCTGCCCTCCTCCTCCTCCTCCTCCTCCTCCTTGTCCTCGTCCTCGTCCTCGTCCTTCTCCTCCTTCTCGTCCTCATCCTGGTCCTCCTGCCCCCCTTCCTCGTCCCTGGCACCGCTGGAGTCTCTAGGAGCCTCGCCACACAGCGCCTGAAATCCTCGGCCTTCGGGCCCAGGGTCTTCTCGATCTCGGGCGGCGCCGGAGGCCCCCCTCGGCGTTTCGGGTGAGGCTGGAGGCGCCGTTTTTTTTTCTCCCATCCTCCACCAGTGCATTCGCCAGCACCGCTCCTCCAGCCTCTCCCCCGAAGAGGTCCAGTGGGCATTGCGCCCTCTCCATACATTTTTTGGTTTACACGCACGATTTCAAACCAAAATCCTCCTGCTTATCGTTTTGGTTTGCGCATTCTCCTCCTCCTCCTCCTCCTGCTCCTCCCTCGGCGGAGGCAAACCCACCCCTTCGACGATGTTTCCTCGATTTCGGCCCTGGACCCTGGGGCCATCAGAAAGTGTTCCAGGACAAGAAACCGCCACCCTCAGAACAAGGGTCGGGGCCTGTGCAGCCGCGCATTGAACATAATCACATCGTCGGTTGTCTGGGAGATGGTTGGATAGCCTAGTGGCGGGCGTTACACATCTTCTCTGGGGAGCCTTGTCACAGACATGGGCGGGTGGAGCCATTGGATCCGCGTGGTGCCCCCCTCTGGGCTATGCAGCTGGCTGCAGTCTCCGATCGTCCCATTCCCCTTCGAAGACCACGAAACGCCCAAACATGTATGTTTATGCTTTCTTTCTCCCTCTTCAATTCGACCTCCCCGCCTCCGCTCTCCTTCCCCCTGTGGCCCGTACCATCCCTCCTTCCTCCTCACCCCTCCCTCCACAACGCCTCTCTCCCCCCCCTCTCTCCGTCCCTTCCCCTCCCCCTTCCTCCCCCCTCCCCCTGCCTCCCTTCCTCCCTCCTTCCCTCCCTCCTCCCCTCTCCCTCTCTTCCATGATCCCCTCCCTCACACTTTCCTTACCTTTGGAGGTATCCCGAGGTCCCTAGAGGCCAGGGAAGTATCCAAGGACCTCGACCCTCGAGTTTCGTTCCCCGCGCCTCCCTCCGTGTCGCCTGGGCTGACGGCTTCGAGCCGAACGCTCCATCGTCGGCGCGACGTAGCGGGATGCTTGCGGTTCCGCAGGTGGGGGAACTGTTTTGCTTGTCGTCGTCGTCGTCGTTGCCGCGGTTGCCGTTGCCGTCGCCGCCGTTGTCTCGTTGTGGCCGCCGTTTTCGTCGTCGTCGTAGGAGGAGGAGGCGGAGGGGAGGAAGAGTAGGATGTGGGGTAGGTGGATAATGAGGAGGCGGGGGAGGTGAACGAGGTGGTGGAGGAAGTGGAGGAAGAAACGGAGGAGGAAGGTTCAGCAAGGTTGAGGAAGGTGGAGGAGGTAGAAGAGGAACAGGAATCTGATGATGCTGATGATGATGATGCTGCCGATGACGATGACGATGATGACTATGACGACGATGATGATGACGATGATGATTATGATAATGGTGCTGCTGCTGCTGATGATGATGATGATGATGATGATGATGATGATGATGATGGGAATGCTGATGACGATGCTGCTGATGCTGCTGCTGCTGATGTTGCTGCTGATGCTGCTGCTGATGATGATGATGCTGCTGCTGATGATGATGATGACGCGGTTGCTGCTGCTGCTGCTGATGAGTTGATGATGTTGATGCTGATGATGATGACGATGATGATAGTGAGGATGATGATGAAGATAAAGATGATGGAGCATATGCTGCTGCTGATGATGATGATGCTGATGATGGTTCAGATGTTGATGTTGGTGATGATGCTGATGATGAATACGTGCTGATGGTGATGATGATGATGATGATGATGATGATGATGATGATGATGATGAGGATGATGAGGATGATGATGATGATGACGATGATGCTGCTGATGACGATGCTGATGCTGATGCTGTTGCTGATGCTGCTGCTGATGATGCTGATGGATAATGAAAGCGCGCCAGTGGATCCCCCTGAATACACAAAGGGGGGGGGTGTGCTCGCAGACCCCCCCCTCCCCCCCTTCAAAGGGGGGTGAGATTTTCGACGCCCCCCCTCCCCCCCTTAGGGGGGGGGGGACTCCCCCCCCCTCCCCCTCCCTTGAAGGGGAGGGGGGGTCCAGTTCCCCCCCCCTCCCCCCCTTCGCGCTGGAAGGGGGGGGGGGGGTCGCCCCCCCCCCCCCCCTTGCGCCGAACAGGGGGCGGGGGAAAGGGCCTCTTCCGCAAGGGGGGTGGTCTGGCCTCGGGCTAGTGAGTAGTGAGTAGGGAGTAATGAAGAGTGAGTTGTGAGTAGATAGTAGCGAGTAGTGAGGAGTGAGGAGTGAATAGTGCGCAATCAGTAGTGAGTAATCAGTAGTGAGTAGTGAATAGTGGGTAGTGGGGAGTGGGTAGTGGGTAGTGAGTAGCGAGTAGGGAGCAGCGAGTAGTGAATAATGAGTCGCGTGTGGGGCATTCTGAGTAGTGAGTAGTGAGGATGGAGTAGTCCGTAGTGAGTAGCGAGTAGGGGGTGGCGGGTAGTGATTAGTGAGTAGTGATTAGTAGGTAGCGAGTAGGGGGTAGCGTAGTGAGTAGTGGGTAGTAAGTAGTGAGAAGGGGGAAGTGGGTAGTGAGTAGTGGGTAGTGGGTAGTGCGTAGGGAATGACGAGTAGTAAGTAGTGAGTAGTACGTCGGGAGTAGTGAGTAGTGAGTACGGAATAGTGAGTAGTGAGTTGCGACTTGTGACTCGTGGCTAGTGGGTAGGGTATCGGGAGTACTGCGTAGTGAGTAGTGAGTAGTGAGCAGTGAGCAGTGCGTAGTGGGTATTGAATATTGCGTATTGGGTAGCGAGTAGCGAGTAGGGAGTAGCGAGTAATGAGTAGTCAGTAGTGAGCAGTGAGTACTGTGTAGGGGGTAGGTAGTAGCGACTAGCGCGCTGCGGGTAGTGAGTCGTGAGCTTTGGGCAGTGATTTGTGAGTAGTGAACTGTGCGTACCCAGTAGCTATCAGTGGATAGTGGTTCGTGAGTAGTGAGTCGTGCTTAGTGAGTAATGAGTAGTGGGCAGTGAGTTGTGTTTAGTGCGTAGTGAGTATTGGGTGCTGGGTAGTGAGTAGTGGGTAGTGAATAGTGAGTTGGGAGTCGTGGGTAGTGCGTACTGGGATCGTAGTGAGTAGTGAGTAGTTTGTAGTGAATAGTTCGTATTGGGTAGCGGGTAGGGTGTAGGGAGTGGCGAGTAGTGAGTGGTGACTGGTGAGTATTGTGTAGGGAGTAGGGGGTAGCCAGGAACGAGTAGTGGATAATGAATGGTGAGTTGTGGGCAGTGACTAGTGAGTAGTGACGTGTGAGTGGTGAGTAGTGAGTAGTTGATTGTGGTTAGTGGGTATTGAGTAGTGTTGTTTTTTTGTGTGTGTGTGTGTGTGTGTTTTTGAGAGTAGTGAGTATCGAGTAGCGGGTAGTGCGTAAGTAGCTAGTGGTGAGTGGTGAGTAGGGAGTAGGGAGTAGTTGGTAGGGTGGTTAGTGAGCAGTGGGTATTGAGTAGTGGGTCGTGAGTAATGAGTAGTGGATAGTGAGGAGTGAGTAACGAGTAGCGAGTAGTGGGTAGGGGGTAGTGAATAGTGCGTAATGAGTAGTGAGTGCTGTTTGGGGCTAGGGTTAGGGTTTGGGGTTGGGGTTCGGGTTAGGGTGAGGATTCGTGTTAAGGGTGGTAGGGGTCGGGTTCTGGAGCTCGGGGGCGCCGTGGCAAAAAGAGAGGGGGGGGGGCCGATTTTGGCGGGCAAATAGGGAGGGGGGTGTTCGGACCCCCCCCCTCCTTTTGAAAGGGGGGGGAGGGGGCGGGGGGGGGGTGTCCCCGACGACGGATCGGGAAAGGGGGGGAGGGGGGGAGTCCCCGACGACGGATCGGGAAAGGGGGGAATGGGGGAGGGGGGGGGGTCCCCGACGACGGATCGGGAAAGGGGGGGGGGGGTCCCGACAACGGATCGGGGAACGGGGGGGGAAGGTTCCCCCCCCCCTCTGGGGGGATCCAGCGGCGCACCCTCCATAATGATGAAATTGCTGGTGCTACTTATGATGCTGATGCTGGTGATGATCATGCTCATGACGATTAAGATGAGGCTGATGATGATGATGATGATGATGATGATGATGATGATGATGATGGTGATGATGATGATGATGATGATGATGATGATGAGGGTCATGATCATGATGAGACCGGTGCACATGCTGATGCTGATGCTAATGCTGATGCGGATGCTGATGATGCTGATGATGATGCTGATGCTGATGATGATGATGATGATGATGATGATGATGATGATCATGATCGTGATGATGATGATGATGATGATGATGATGATGACGATGATGATGATGATGATGATGATGATGCTTATGCTGCTGATGATGATGATGATGCTGATGCTGGTGATGATGATGACGATCCTGGTTATATTTATGATGATGATGATGCTGATGATGATGACGATGACGATGACGATGCTAACGATGATGATGATGATGATGAGGCTGCTGATGCTTATGATGAGGGTAAAGACGAGATGGTTATGGTGATGTTGGTGGAGATGATGATGATGATGATGATGATGACGCGTCTGCTGCTACTGCTGATGATGCTGATGATGCTGATGCTGTTTAGGCTGGTGATGATGACGACGATGATGACGATTTTGCTGATGGTATTGATGCTGATGCTGCTGCTGCTGATGATGACGATGATGATAGTGGTGGTGGTGATGATGATGCTGATGATGACGATGATGATGCTGATGATGATGATGATGATGATGATGATGAT